TTTTTGTCTTTTGGTTGTAGTAATTCTAGTGGGTATAAAGTAGAATCTCATCAAAAGTGGTACCACTCCCTAAGGAAATGAAGGTTTATGCCTACGTTTTCTTCTAAGAGTCTTTTAATTTTATCTTTTACATTTAGGTCTTTATTCTATTTTCAGTCAATTTTGCAGATGGTGTGAAGTAGGGGTCCAACTTCATCTTTTGCATGTGGACATCCTCTCGTCCCAGCACCATTTGTTGAAAAGACTGGTTTTTTCTTCATTGAGTTGTCCTGGAATCTTTGTTGAAGGTCAGTTAGCCATGCGTGTATGGGTTTACTTCTGGACTCCTAATTATATTCCATTTATCTATGTGTCTATCCTTATGCTAGTTCTAGTATATCTGTCTCTATCACCGTAGCTTTGTAGAAAGTTTAGAAATTGGAAAGTGTGAGTCCTCCAACTATGTTCTTCTTTAACAAGATTATTTTGGCTATTATAAGTCTCATTATAATTTTGGTTTGCATTTCTCTGATAGCTAACGATACTGCATATCTTCTTATGTGCTTATTGGCCATTTGTACATCTTCTTTGGAGAAATATCTATTGAAATTTCTTTGCTCACTTTTTTTCAGTTTTCAAAATCTTATTTTATTTGCATTCACTTGAAAGCTCTTACAGAAATACTTCTTGAGTACCGGGTTTTCTGAAGTGATATATAACCGAGGCAATTTTTAATAGTTGAAGGTTTCTAGGGACTAGGACAAAGGTTTGTTGATTATATTCCAATTTTTTTTCCTCAATTTTTAAAAATTTTTTTATCGACTCATATTTGATTATAAATATTTTGGAGGTTCAATGTTGACACATATTGATCAAATTAATATTACTAGCATAAATAGTTACAAATTATACTTATTCTTTATTGTCCAATCTCTCCCTATCCCCCTCTCCCTCCCCCCCACCTCTGATAACCTTAGATTTCTTCTCTTGTTCTGAAAGAGTAATGGTTACTCTGTTGATTTGCTGCCTAGATAATCTGTGCAATGCTGAGAGGTGTGTTCAGGTCCCCCAAAATTACATAGAGC